CTAAAAAAAACGTTTAAATTCTTTCAATATTGTAATTAAATAAAACTCTCAATAAGAGTGTTCAAGTATGTTCCAAGACAGTGTTTTAATTGACCCAAAAGGTGTTTAAAGCCTTTTCTAAAACAAGTATTATTGCAAGCTTAAATCAACATGAGATTCATCACATGCTTGACCAAAAATTGTACAACTGAAACCATAATCTAAACTTATCTAATCCTACATGAAAGCAACTACAAGGTCATTTAAAGTTTTAAATTGCCGAAAAACATATAAAAATGAATTTTCAATACTTGCAGGGTCATAAAAACATTACAAATACACATAACTACAACATGTTAGCATCATCAGAAAATCTTCCCTTAATTTAACTGCAACTGCCTAAGTTTCAAAAATATGCATAACAACAATTAGACAACTCGAAGAAAATACGTCGCGTTAAATATCAAAACTTAAAAGGAGCAGTCAGTATTTCATAACATAGTTCGCCGTTAAACTTTGGCCAACAACAAGAAGGAATCAAATCATTAACTCATTTCCTGAACAAATAAGGAGACGACATAAGCTGAATAAAAAAATAAAATAAAATAAAATAAAAAATATCAGAAATAGAAACACAACAGCATAAATATCAAGATATGGAGCCCAAATTGGACATGAATAAAATTCACAGAAAATATAAGTTTGTGTTTGGGATCTTGCAAGAACTCATAGAGAAGTGAACGGTCAAAAGTGAACGGTGAGAGGATTGGGTTGGATAGGTGGACCTTGCACAATTGACTTCGTGTTCCGATTGTCCAAATGGTTTTCCTGCAGAGCTGGGGGGGGTTTTTAAGACTAGGCGCGTGGTGTTTTTTTAATCAGATCTTGGGATAGTGAAATAGGGAAACTAATTTCGACCTAGGTGTTTGGATCAAGCTTAAGATGATGGGGAGGAAATGATATGGGTCAATCTCGGCCAATGGAGGAGAGATTTTTGATATTAGGTATTGGGTTAATGAAATGGGTTAGGATAGACACAGAATGAGATAGGACTTAAGAAATGTAAAGGGAGAGGACTCATGGGTTAGGTTTGCGCGGAAAGAAAATGGTGGAATTTCGGATGTCTTTGTATGCCACGATCTTTTCATGCACTACAAAGCAGAGCAAGGTGAAGCCCGATCAGGCGAGCGGTTGGGGTGGAAGGGGGATGGTTAAGGCTAGGCACGTGGGTTCCGTCGCCCATGCGGGGTGAATGTGTCGGCCGACATTAGTCGGCGCGTTATACCGCCTTTGTGATAGACCATTGATTTCCCAGAAGAAATCCTAGGTTAGCAATCCCATGCATCGTCATTCATAGCAAAGTCAAGTTATTCACCCTTTGTGAGCCTTAAAGCAAAATCTCGGGCGTTGGAATCCCAATTTCCCACGGCTTTGGTACTCCAAACCTTCCTTGGAGGGGTTGGTTGAGTCTGGTCTTGAGGGATGGGAAAAACTTTGTAGCTTAGGGGGGGTGGGGAAGAAGGGCTTCGAGCTTCTCGGTTCGGTTGCATGAAAGGTGAAAAGGAAAACGAGGCTTCGTTTCTTAAACAGAGAGGAAGATATGAGTTTTAGTGGCTTCGTTTCTTGAATATGGAGGAGAGATCGACGTAGAGAAGAGAGAAAAGGGTGTGACTTTTGTATTTCGAACCACAGAATTGGGTAAGAGAGAGAAGGCAGCACGAGAGAGAAACTTGGAGATCGAACAAAGAAGTGGAAAAAAGTGCTATTTCTGCAGTTTGCTTGGATCAATAGAGATGGGGCTTTGCCTAGAGTGGAAGTGTGGCTTCTGCATGCAAATTAGAGAATAACGGATTAGAGATGCGGCTGAGGCCGTGCTAGACTTGTGAAAGAGAAAATGAAGACGAGCAGCAAGAAGGAACGTGCAAGGGTTTTAGTCGGGAGAGAAGTGGGATTTTTCGTGAGTATTGTGGTTTATGAACCAAATCAAAAAGAATTGGAGAGGAGCAGGCAACGAGAGAGCCAAAACATGTGTGGTCGTTTTTTCTCAAATAGGAGAAGTCTCATGCAAATGATTACGAGCATATTGGGGTGGGATTAGATATTAGGATTTTAATATTTTAATTGTTTTTCTTTTTTTGCTGTTTAATTTTAACGTTCAACAAATATATCTTAATTAAGTTTCTATTCTTTCTCTAAATTCTTTTATCCAAAACTCAAATTTTTGTTTACTTTCAAAGCCCTCTCACCTCACGCCAACTACATAGCAAATAATTCTCCGCAAGTCAACTAAAGCTGGCGGCAAAAGGAAAGGAAGCAAGCAAACTAAAATCTAATTTGATCCATAGCATCTTGCTCCACCAAACTTTCGAAGTTATAGGAGTTTTATTTAAATTTAGATTACTAAATAGCAAATTACTGATAATATTTGAATTTGATTTTATTCCAAATAAGAAATAGTAATATGCTATTATTCTACCAAGCCCCCTCTTTTAAAATTTGCCTTGTTATAACAATTATTGGGTCAAAATTCCTAACAATTGTCTGTCTTCATAAATTTATTAAATCCATTAAATAAGAAAAATTATAGCAATTTTCCGATATGCATACTTTATTAACCTTCATGTAACTGTATCTGCATAAGTGAAAAAAATGTAAGTTTTAGAATATTAGATTATTAAGAAGACAACGTCTGAACTTTAGAGAAAAACAATGCTGAAGGCTTACCAAATTCTAGTCATTATCGCTCAAAAAGAGAAAGGAAATATGACAGTAAATTTAATAGCAGGGATGGAACAAAAAATTTAAGCCTTTACAAGTTTAGCGGCAGCCTAAACATTGAAAAGAAGGACCTTATATGTTGATATATTCATTGAAATTAAAGTATTGCTTGATCATGTCAGCGTAACAAAGAGTGTTAATATTGAATCTTTTTCCTTCACAAGGAAGATTTGATATTATGTAGATATAAAATAACGCTGATACAACAGCTAACAATTTTTTACCAGAATTTATCGTATTTCCTCCTGCAGGAAAGTATGGATAAAACAAATTAGGGACGGAAGGGCCTGTTTTCCGTTACTTCTGCATAATACTCAAGAAAATAAGGCCAAAATGCAATTAGATATATGCACCAGATGGAACAACAAAATAGGAAAGCCAACCTTGACACTGCATTGCTGTCATACGGACAACTTCCATCATAGGGATATCCTGGATAATCGCTTCCATCCAGATTACTACTTTGTTCTTTTTTCGAATTATTGTGATGTGCACATTTCTCTGTTAAAGAACTAGCAACAGCTTCTGTAACATCTAGCAGATGTTGTATGACTTCACACTGCCCAATATCCATGCTACTTTGAGATCTCTGAAGTTCTAGTTGAAGTTTCTCATTTTCCTTCTGAAGGGCCTCATCAAATCTCAAGTTTGGGTATGAACAAGAAAGAGTCTTTTTGAGAATCGTTTTATGATTGCTACATGGATCAGGATTCAATATAACATCTTGCACCTTCTTGTCCTCATCATCAAAAGTATATTCTCTGTCATCACTATCAATGTGCTCCAGTCTTTCCTGATGCATGAAAACGGAAGAAATTATTTTAAAAAGGGGAACAAATTGTAAGAATCAATAGTAATGCTAGCCACATAAGCAATATTTATAAATCGCAAATATGATTATCAATGACAATAAATAGAATTGTAATGGTGCAATTGGAATTGAATTTGCAGTATCGATTTTATCATAACAATAACTAACCTGCATCTCTTGTTTAACTTTAGTTTTTGAAGTAGGCCGCACAATAAATGGACCAATCAGGCAAAAATATAAAGCCTAGAAATAAAGCTGAGTATTATTCATCAAATGCACATAAAATTGAAAACTAAGGGTGATATTGAGTCAGGTCCGATTACGTTAGTTGAACAGGAACTCAAAAAAGAAAAAGAAATAAATGCTCGGCTCAAACTAGACTCATGCCTATTTCTGGTAGATAAGAAATTGAATTTTAATTAAGAATATAGATAAATATATACATATATTGTGTTATATGCATTATGAGTTCTAAATAAATAAGTTTTACCTTGATTTAATTACACAACCCGATAAGGTCAAGCAAGACATTGATACTGAAGATGGAACTAGAAGTCACACAAAAGGTTCCAAGACACTTCAATTACTATTGAAATTGCTCAAACATTGCCCGATCATAAAATAGGCCCCATGGCATCCAAAGCATCAAAATTACATAACAATGGGTATTTTATTATTAAAAGAAGTATGATAAAAATGATGAAATAAATCTTAATGCCCCCAAAACTACTCCAATGATGCTCGATCACAAACGAATTGCGCCATTGCATCAGAAACGTCAAGAATACTCGAGAAGAGTCACTCAACGAGGACAAAAATAAATGAACATGAAGATGTACGAAATGAGGCCAAGTCACTTTAGCTGTAATAACCAAAAATAAAATAAATTTAATCCCCCTCACGACACCTATTCAAAACAAATACAATGCTATGGGAAAATTAAAATGATGGATTTATTTTCTCGTTTCGTTTGAACTGAATGAACAAGCCAAGCGAGAGAGAGATGAGAGAAGCGAGAGCAAGAGTAAAAGAAAAACTAGAGGAAGAAAAAGAATGAGACAAGTGGCTTGGTAGACTATCGTGAGCAAAAAATGATGGAAGGAAGGAGACGAATGACTTGCCTTTTGTGCTTTGTTGACGGTCTAGAGCGCATTGAATAGGGAGGAAGAGGAAGAGGAAGGAAGGACCTTGCTTTTAAATGAGTGGAAGAGGAATCACAGGAGAATGGAGACGATGCAAAACCTATCAAAATGGGTGCACTCGGGAAGAAGAAAAGCAATGACACCAAGGAGCAATGCCACTTGCTGGAAGAAGGAATCGAGTGATCCTTGTGTTTGATTTGTGTATACAAGGGCAACAAGCTGAAGCCTGAGAAGGGGCAAGACGACATCATGAAAGAGGCACACAAAGAAGAAGGAAGACGACAATATCAATCAGGAATAAAAGAAATCAGACAGAATAAAGAGTTTTCTTCTTCGTAATACTGCAATACTGCAAAGAAGGAAATATTATAAAATATTATATTTGCACGGATTCTTTCCTTTTAGCTAATTATTTTGATTATGATTATGTATTAATTAAGTTATTTAATTAAGAATATACTGAATATTATGTACCTAAAATAGATTGTACAAACTACTATTTATTGGAATGAAAGTAAAGAAAAAGGCATTCAGCCTATTTGCTCAAAATATTGTCATGATATCAGAGCCTGAATCCTTGAAATTTTAGCTTTGTTATCTTTGGTCGGGATCTTCGACTGCTTCCTCACCGGAGCGCTCTTTCTTCTCTTTGAGTTTTGCGGCGTCTTCGTCCGCTTTGTTTGAGTTATGTTGCTGCTTCAAGATGTTGCTGCTTCAAGCCGATCGACTCCCATCGATCGGACCTCTGGTGCTGTGTTCCACGGCATCTTCTCTGGTGCGACATCTTCGTCCAGCATCTTTCGATACTCCATTGGGCCGCGATTCGCTTGCTCACTCCAAGATCTGCCGCGATCTTTACTTGTTCTGTCGCGATATGCTTATTCGCTCACTCGCTCCTGCGCAATCTTTGGTGCGGCACTCGTTCTCTCCTACCGCGATCTGTCGATCGCTCCTGCGCGATCCGCCGTGACCCGCTCGCTTTTCGTGATCGTCGCTCGTTCTGCCGCGATCTCTGGTGCGGCATCTCGTTCGCTCCTGCCGCGATTTGCCGTTAGTGTCGCGATTTGTCGCTACTGTCGCAAGCGTCACGATCACGGCTTATTCAAACTTTGAGGCGCTCTTCGATCTTCGACCCTAGCCTTTGAATTTTATTTGTCTTGGATATTTCGATCAAGATTAATATATTTAAAATGTCTTCTGAAATCTTAGCTATCAGATTTACAGGAAGGAATTATGTAGCATGGAAATTTTAGCTCAGAATGTTCTTAAAAGGGAAGGAGCTTTGGGGTCATCTTGATGGATCTTCCCCAGCTCCTACTGAGACAAGATCTTGGTCAATGGGAAGCAAATGATGCTCCGATTGTTTCCTGGATTTTGGGATCTATTGAGGCTCATACGATAAACAATTTACGATCCTTTAGCACAGCTAAAGAAATGTGGGAATATTTGAAGCGCGTTTATAATCAAGATAATTCTGCGAAACGATTCTAATTGGAACTTATCATGAATAATTATAGTCAGGGTAATCTTTCAATTGAACAATATTATTCTGATTTTTTAAATTTATGAAGTGAATATACTGGTATTATCTATGTTAAGTGTCAAAGGAGAACTTAGCTAGTCTTCAAGCTATTCATGAAGAAAGTCGTCGTGATCAGTGTGGATCAGTTTTTAATGAAACTGAGACCTGTATTTGAAACTGCTCGAGCTGGGTTGCTGAACAGAGATTCGGTTCCGTGTTTGGATGTTTTTTTTGGGCAATTACTGCGCGAAGAACAAAGATTGGCGACACAAGCTACTATCAGTACAACAGGTGGATCATCAGAAATAATTAATGTGGCATATGCTGCTAATACCACAGGGAAGGGGTCAGTGCAGTGCTACAACTACAAGAAATTTTGTCATATTGCACAGAATTGAGAAAATAAGGTATGTAATTATTGCAAGCAAAAGGGACATACTCTTACGGAGTGCCTAACATGAACCCAAAATCGCAAACCACAAGCACTTCATGCCATGGTATCTGACAATCCTGCCTCGACTTCTATTGTTACTGACAATAATCAATCAACTGTCACACCCTATATGGTTCAACAGATGATTCTCTCTGCATTTTCTGCTCTCGGCCTTCAAGGAAAAGGTAAAACTATTTCTTCGGTTACTTCTCATTAGTTTGTTGATTCAGGCGCCACAAATCATATGACTAGCACTGTTGAGCTATTGCATAAACAACGACCATACACTGGTACTCAACATATTCAGGTTGCTAATGGAAATAATATTCCAATTACGACAGTTAATGACATTAACTCATCCTTCAAACATGTTTTGGTTTCTCCTAAATTATCTACTAATTTAATCTTTGTTGGTCAAATTGTGGATAATAACTGTGAAGTACATTTTTCTCGTGATGGTTGTATTGTGCAGAATCAGGAGTCGGGGAAGGTGATAGCGAAGAGGCCTAAAGTGGGTAGACTGTTTCCATTGCAATTTACTGTTCCTCAAAATATTTCATTAGCCTCTTCAGTTATTGAGAATAAGGCAGACATCTGGCATAAGAGACTAGGTCATCCAAATGATATGGTGTTGAAGCATTTACATAAATATGGTATTTTTTGTTCTACGGATAAGAATTTAGTAGTTGACTGTTCTGTTTGTAAACTTGAAAAAAGCAAGACGTTACATTTTCTTATTTCAGGCAGTCGTGTCAATAAATGTTTTGACATTATTCATAGTGATGTATGGGAATTATACCGGTTATTTCACATGCTCAATAAAGATATTTTGTGACATTTATTGATGATTACAATCGATTTACTTGGATCTATTTTTTGTGTGCCAAAACAGAAGCATTTACTGTATTCCAAACATTTTTGGCATATGTTGAAACTCAGTTCTCCGCTCGCATTAAAACCTTACGATTTGACAATGGCGGTGAATACATGTCTCATGAGTTTCAAACATTTCTCCATAACAAAGGGATTGTTTCACAACGTTCATGTCACTATACACCGCAGCAAAATGGAGATGTTGAACGAAAAAATCGACATCTATTGGATACCGTGCGCACATTACTGATAGAATCTTCTGTTCCAGCTAGATTTTGGACTGAAGTTTATCTAATGCAGTTTATCTCATTAATCGCTTACCATCTCAACAATTGAAATATGAGTCTCCCTACTATCGAGTTTCTGATAAACACCCTAATTATCATACGACACATATTTTCGGATGTATTTGTTTTATTCATCTACCTGCACATGAACGTCATAAATTGACAGCTCAGTCAGTACGATGTGTTTTTATGGGGTACAGTCCTAATCATAAAGATTTTGTGTTATGATTTGATTAATAATCGATGGCATATTTCTAGAAATGTGATTTTCTTTGAACATGAATATTACTTGCAGCATCATGTGTCCACATCAGATACAGTTATACTTCCACAATTTGATAATTGTTCTGCTGATGAACGGTTCAAGCCAGACATTGTCTACACACGACGCCTGCCCCCTTCACCTTCAATCCTCCCCGACCCTAATCCAGAAATTGCTCCAATAAGTATTCGACGATCATCCGTCCTCCATATAGATATGGGTATTCTGCAATTTTAACTAATACTACTGTTTCTACCTCTTAATTTCAAGCTGCTAAACAGACTTGTTGGGTTAAAGCCATGAAAGAGGAACTTCAGACACTTCAAGACAATCACACTTGGGATATTGTTTCATGTCCTACAGGTATTAAACTCATTGAATGTAAATGGGTTTATTCTCTTAAACTTCGATTTGATGGCTCTCTTGACAGATATAAGGCAAGATTGATAGCTCTTGGCAATCGACAGAAATACGGGATTGATTATGACGAAACAATTATGACGAAACATTTGCAACATTTGCACCTGTGGCTAAGATGACAATTGTCCGACTAGTGTTATCTATTGCTGCATCTAAAGGCTGGTTCTAAAAGCAGATGGATGTTAAGAATGCATTCTTACATAGGGATCTCAAAGAAGACGTCTATTTGACTCCTCCAGGCTTATTTTCTACATCTTCACATGATATTTGTAAGCTCAAAAGGTCCCTATACGGTTTGAAACAG